ACCTCGGGCTCGGGATGAGCTCGAAGAAACCGAAGCTGCAGACTGTTGTGCAGCTACACCATGTCTAGCTGCATACTCATCATATAAAGTTTGAAAATAATTTCTAATAAGTAAATGATGAGTAGTAGCATTCAGGGTGGTTCCATCATCTAAGTCTATAACCTGTCCACCATACAATGACTGTAACAAACTTCGAAGGCCAATATCCTTCAAGCATGGATCAATAAGAACCCCCAAACCAAAAATATGAGGAATAGGCCTAAAATACTTATTAAATTTGCTCTCCATTTCAAAAACCATAGGTCCAAAAGTAGCATCCAAACGATATTTATCAAAAATTTTTTGAATATTTAAAATTTGTAAAGCAGCTAAAGTAATGGTTGGATAATAACAGCCAGATAATAACATGGTAGCATCATAAAAAACTTGTAACATTTCATTTAAATTACATATAACTGTCCATTCATCTTCAGTTATTCCATAAGTGCTACCAGAACTAGAACTAGAAGCATAATAGTTTATAAAATCAGTTATAATGTCTTTATATTCTATTGCTACACTTAACATTGCATATGTGGAATTCCACCTATGGTCAACATCTTTTGGAATTAGTCTAGGCTTTACATTTTTTCTTTTACAAAATTGTTTCCATCTTTTAAGTCTTTGTTCAGAAGCACTATGCATGTAAGCAACTGTTCTAACCTTTTCTATCATGGGTTTAATTTCAGTAAATGCACTTTGAACAATTAAATTTAAAATATGACAGATGCACCTAATATGAAAAAGATCACCATGACATGGCAATGATAAAGATGATCTGATAAAATCAACAGCTACATTGTTATTACTTGCATTATCTAGTGAAAGAGAAAATATTCTTTCTGTAATTTCTAATTTCATAAGTTCTTCAATTATTAAATTTGCAACATTAGCACCAGTATGTGACTCTTCTATTGCAATAAAAGAAACAACTCTTTTAAACATTTGCCAATTTTTATCAATTCAGTGTGCTGTGATACATAAATATCCAGTTTGTGCTCTAGATGTCCAAATATCAGAAGTTAAAGAAAATTTACAGTTTAAATTTTTAAAATAAGAAATTATTTTTCCTTGTTCCTCATGATAATATTTTAAAATATCACGTTGACAGGTTTAACGAGAATTTTTTTTAAATAAACATATCTTCAAATTCATCATATTCTACTAATTTAAAAGGAAGCTTTTTAAGAATGATAAACCTGATTACGCATTGTTAGACCCTAGAGGGGGGTGATTAGGGTCTTATGCTAATCTAATCCGATTAAATGCCAATTAAAACTAATTATGTTGATCAATATGTTCTTGCAAGAGATAGATATGAACAATAAGAACAATAAGAATATGCATAAATAAAATATGAGACAAGCAAAACACAAACACACGATATGTTTACGAGGTTCGGTCCCCACGACCTACGTCCCCGCTCCTCACCTCGAGGAGATATCCACTATCACAATCCGGTTTGGAAGCCGGAACTTCTACACACTCGGTTTACAAGTTCACCGAAAACTCTCACACTACACAATCACTCAACAATCACACTTTACACACTAAGTGTAGGAATCTAGCCCGTGTCCTCCTCCTCAAGTGCTCGATTACAACCTCTCCCTAGGTTCGTCAATCGACGCCACTCCTATTGGATTTGACCCCGTCTCTCTCTCCTCACACTTCTCTCGGTGTACAAGTGTATTACAAGTGATTCTCACAAATAAAAGTCAAATACAGTAATTTGTTCTCAATTGACACGTGAGAACACAATGAAGCTCACACTCACTAAATCACACTCCACAAACCCACAATATATAATATGAAAAATATCAAGCTCAATAAATGTGTGATAATAGTGAATCAAATTCAATAAATAACTTAAATGAATATAGCTAATCAAATGAAAGTGAAATAATAAGCTATATGGAAAGAGTTTAGAAAAACTTCTCAATGAACAAGAGGAGCTGAAGAGTATGATCCCAATGGAATATGAGAGCCTCTTCTTGTTGTAGAGAACTTTCACTTGAAAACGGATTAACGAAACAGCTCTTAAAACAGCCCTTAAACGCGATTAAAACTTTGCTAAACAGTAAACTTGGATTTCTTAGCTTTTTTAGAAGAGGAGCAGCAATTGGGTATATATAGCTCCCCAATACAACAGCTAGAAGTGAGAAAAAGACGAAAAAACCCATTTGAAAAACTAGCCGTTAGGCTCAGTTTGTTAACTCGTCGGTCGACCGGTACGGTCGACCGATTAGTTCAAAAAAAAAACGTGAGAAAACAAGTTTTGAAGCTGGCGGTCGACCGACGTAATTTTCGGTCGACCGAAGGTAAATTTCGGGCGACCGACGTAAATTTCGGTCGACCGGAAAACTTTGGGAAACTTTCTTAGAAACAGACAGTCTGTCGGTCGACCGTATCGGTCGACCGAAAACTGATATGAGAAAATTGACAGGTTTTTGGGGAGTTTTGAAAAATCGTTAAAAATATCAGATCATATCCAAAATTAGTGAAACTTTGGGGAAAGTTTATAAATTATGAAATAAGCATGTTTGAAAAGAAAATTTTGGAAAAACATTTTTCGTTTGCTAAAACTCCCTGTTATTGAAAACAGCTTAGAAAACCTGTAAATTTACGAAAGTGAAATTTGATTCAGACATGTAAATATTCACATATATATATTTGCATATATTATACGTATATAGTGAAACATGAAAGAGCTGTAAAAAAAAGGGATAGAGATATTTTAGCAACGGTTAATGAAAAATCATTTATATGATAGAAAACGTTATAAATCGTGTTAAGTGTATATATATTGAGCTTGAATACAATCATACAATATATGTAGGTAAACTAAACATATACCTAGGTAGAACCACACAAAAAGAACTTGAATCTTTAACGCTAGATTGACTTGTGAACTTGAAATACCTGAAAAGAAACTAGAAACACAAAAACACTAGAGAGATTATTAGTAATGAATTGTTTGCTAAATCATCATCAAAACTATAGGGTCAACACTTTGCATGCTTGGAAAGTTACTTACCCTTTCACATGTTAAATGTACCATATTTAGAACCAATTTGGTGCTATTAGGGGGGTTATTCATTGGTGTAATTTTGGGGATAATGGGATAATTTTTGGAACATCACTTTTTAGTGTTATTCATTGGGGTAATTGAAATTGGAGTCAACTTTGTGGTGTTATTGGTTTGTTGGGGTAATTGGAGGACAAATACTCCACTTTTCCCTAAATTACACAAACTATATAAAGATCCCCTCCACCCATTCCTCATAATTACCCTAAATTTAACTCATCCTCCATATTGGAACAATGTTGTTCCACTTTGAAGGAAATTGGGATAATTTTAAAATATTTTTGTATTACTTAACTAATACATGCTAATTATATTATAAATATATGATATGATGTATTAAATATACCATATATCAATATTTTAATAACATAATTTAATAACATATATTAATAATATTATATAATAGTAATTATAGTATAACGTATTTATTATAATATTATATAATATTTTAATAACATAATATATTAATTATATTATATATATTATTCATATATTATATCAATTATTATATAATGTAGCATACTAATATAATGTTAATTAGTAATTATTGTATAACATATTATATTTTTGTATAAATAAAATAATGTATTATATTAAATATTATATTATTAAATATTATATTAAATATATTAATTTTATATTATATTAATTATTATATATAGTATAGCATGCTAATATAATATAATACAATACAATATAATAATTAATAATAGTAATTTGTAAGTATAGTACAATATATTATATTTTAATATAAAATAAAATAATATTTATATTATAATAATATACTAAACCAATTGGATAAGTTAATTTAGAAATAATTAATAGATAAAATTATATTTTAATAAGGTGTCACGTCATCAATTATCTCACATGAATTGTCAAATCAAATACTGAAATTATCTCATTATTCTACTTTATCCCATTTTACCCCACTCAAAATATCCCAAAGGGGTAAAATTGTTCCATTGGAACACTTTTCCCCTTTGGCCCCAATTTGTCCCAACCAATAACCCCCTTTAGTAAATGAAAATTCGTTATTACTGCTAGTGGAATCTAATTCTTGGGATCAAACCCAAGATCTAAACGTAGAAGGAGCTTTTGGATATAAGATTTTTATAAGCTTTTATTATTGACATTATTCTTTAGATTTTCATTATTTTAACTTATCTTTTTAAAATTTAATATAAAATGCTGAAAAAACGTTCATTTTTACATGAATACAGAACCGCAAAATAAACTATCTGATAGTTTATACATGAATACAGAACTACATGTTTGGTTGCATATAAGGGATGAAAAAATAAAATAAAAATTAAAAAACATTTTTTGAAATCTAATATTTATGATAGTTCATATCCTTGTATATAGTCAAACATGAGTGAAAACCTAAATAGCAAAAATACCTAAAGCTTTTAATAACCGTCCCAAAATATGAACCACTTTCATTAATTAGCTAGAAATTAAAGCTATCTACAAAATCAACCATGAACCAACCCAAAAATCAGTAAAGCTTCCAATCCCAAAATTTTATGTCATGAACCTAAACTCAAACCGAGCAAACCAAACACAAAACCCCAAATAGGATTCAATCCCAAACTCTATCAAAACAAACATCCTACAAAAAAATACACCATCTATATGAAAGTTATATTGGCATCTAGTGAACATACATGATCTAGATGTATATACAATATTATCAGTTGAAATCAAGCGCTCTTTGAGCTACTCTTAAAAAAATCATCGTTTATCAGTTATCAGTGCAATCAAATGTACTATTAGTATGGTTGAATTCCACAAATTATATAAATGTTAATTTTACAGGCCCACAGGTGTTTTGAACTTAATACAGTCAAATATTTTTCCCATTAAGAACTATGGCGTGTCTCGTATTTTCTTTCTACGACAGCTATGAACACCCCAAATTTCAGGGGGCTGTGCAAAACCACTAAAAGTTCGGGGGCGTTTTATGAAATTAACCCCGTACATTCTCCAAAACCGCATCCAATATCTGACCGTTTCAAGTCACTTCACCGCACGGCCGTCTCCCAAACAAACCAATTTCCTCACCCTTTCCTCTCTTCTCCTCCTCCTCCTCGACTCGTACGTATTCCAAAAGTTTTCCCATCTACAGGAGCAAAGCCCAAATGGTGCACTACCACAAAAGGCAAGACTCCGGCGACCTCCACCACCTCCTCCCCTTCCTCCACCCGAAGCACAAACCCGCCCTCCTCCGCCTCCTCCTCCTCTTCTCCTTTTTCTCCCTCTCCTTCATCTTCGCGAGCTCCGCCTTCGCCCGACCAACGAAACCGGCTCGGCTTGCGACGTGGTCCACGACGTCCCGGCGGTGTTCTTCTCGACCGGTGGGTACACCGGGAATGTCTACCACGAGTTCAACGATGGGATAATCCCTCTCTATGTAACTTCGCAGAAGTTCAATAGGAAAGTCGTGTTCGTGATATTGGAGTATCACGACTGGTGGGTAAGCAAGTACGCGAACATCCTCTCCAGGCTCTCCGATTTCGACCCCATCGACTTCGGCAGCGATAAGAGGGTACACTGCTTCCCTGAGGCCATAGTAGGCCTCAAGATTCACGACGAGCTCGCCATCGATTCGACCAAGATGGAGAACAATAAGACTATTCGAGACTTTCGAAACCTGCTCGATGAGTCTTACAAGCCAAGAATCGAGCACATCAAACAAGAAGAAGGAGGTGCAGATAACAAGCAGCAACGGATACGGACACCCGATTCACGGCCCAGACTCGTGGTCGTGTCACGAAACGGGTCGAGAGGGATCGAGAACGAGCCCGAATTGGTGAACCTGGCGGCCAAAATCGGGTTCAGGGTCGAAGTCCTCCGCCCTGACAGAACGACAGAGCTCGCCAAGATATACCGATCGCTGAACTCCTCTGACGTGATGATTGGAGTTCACGGGGCCGCGATGACGCACCTCTTGTTCATGAGACCCGGCGCGGTGTTCATACAAATAGTGCCGCTGGGGACGGACTGGGCGGCCGAGACGTACTACGGCGAGCCGGCGAAGAAGCTGGGACTGGAGTACACGGGACATAAGATATTGCCGAGTGAGAGCTCGTTGTACAGAGAATACGAGGAGGATGACGCGGTGTTGAGAGATCCTGAGAGCGTGAATGCGAGAGGGTGGGAGGTTACGAAGAGGGTTTATTTGGATGGGCAAAATGTGAGGTTGGATTTGCAAAGATTTAGAAAAAGACTCGTTAAGGCTTATGAGTACTTGGTTTTGAAGAAGCAGGTGAAGTAATATCGAGGCTTGCTCTGTTTTCCAATTTGTGGTAGAATATGATGAAGATGCAAGTGTTGTATATAGTTCAGATTGAAGGGGGGGATCATATACGCTCGTGAAAAAAAAAATAGGGTTTTGTTTTGTGGATCGAATTGGATATAATTGAGGTGGTGTTTTGTTTGGAAGATTATTTGCTAGGTACGTTTGTTTGCCGGGAGGCTGTTTTGTTAACAAAATTTTGATTGTAAGTGTAGTTAAAATTGTAATTTCCATTCTCCGAAGCTTTAATTTTTGTACAAATGTAGTTTTTTTTTTTTTTAGAAAAAGGATGGATTACCACAAAGGTAATCCAGCCAGCTAAATTAACAAAAAAGTTGTTACAGGAAAAAATATACACACCCCCAACCAAGAGTGTGTATTAACGTTCATAGTCAGGACTACAAAGCAAAAGTATAACCCAGCACAACTCTGTACATAACCATAGATCTCTCCCACAAGAAGGAGACCATAACCAAAAACCAAATACTAAGAGCTTCACAACTAACCAAAGTTTTAAAAAACAGCCACCAGACAACCTCAAAACAAAGCCTGAATTGAATGTAAATCATTCTAGCTGGATCACCTCATCTCCCAGATCTCTGTTCTCTCTTCTATCTGCACCAACAGCTTGCATTCTATCAGCACTCCTTTTCCTCCTTCTTTCTTGCAATCTGATAGCCCGAGCAGAGATATTTTTAGAACCTAGCCAAAATGATGAAAATGTCATAATTTTGTTCAAAAGCTCAAGAGATCTTTTCCTTTTATTAGAAAAAATCCTATCATTTCGTTCCTGCCATACACACCAAACAAAAGAACAAATGAAGACATCTCTTTTTATTTTGCCATTATCAATCTCTCCTGCTTCCAAATTATGCCACACCTCTTTCAAAGAATTCCAACTAAAATCATCCTCAATCTTTAATTTGAATTGAATTGATCTCCATATAGAGTAAACAAACTCACACTTAATGAATAAATGTGTATGACTTTCTTCCAAATTTGAACATAAACAACATATTTTTTCTAAATGTATTCCTTTTTTCCCAACACATCTTTTGTGTTCAAACCATGCTTGAAAGCCAACCAGACTAGAAATTTTACTTTCAAAGGAATAGGCAACTTCCATATATCCGCACAATCATACCTCAGCCCTCCATCAATTAAAAAAAGATAATAAGATTTCACTGTGAAACCCCCTTTTGATTCCCACAACCATTTTCTTTTATCCTCTTTTTGCTCTAAACATATGGAATTAAGTAAATTCATTAAAGACTTTCAAAGGAATAGGCAACTTCCATATATCCGCACAATCATACCTCAGCCCTCCATCAATTAAAAAAAGATAATAAGATTTCACTGTGAAACCCCCTTTTGATTCCCACAACCATTTTCTTTTATCCTCTTTTTGCTCTAAACATATGGAATTAAGTAAATTCATTAAAGAGAAATATTGTGACACTAAAGTCTCTGTTAATTGTCTTTTAAACTGCAAATCCCATCTCCAGACATCATTTTCTTTCTTTCTCATACTACTTACAGTAGCAAAAGGAGAAGATGTGTTAACAAATAAGGACTGATATATGGCTGCAAGAGTATGTGAATCTAACCATTTATCAAGCCAAAATAAAGTTTGATTTCCTTCTCCAACCTTCACTTGAGAACTGCATAGAAAGCTTTCCATATTAGTAAAAAAAATTCTCTAAAAATGAGATAGAAAAACTCTTCTAGAGTAAAAATACTCAGACCAATTTTTTTCAAAATATTTGTAAAAACTAATTTGTTTCCACAGACTAGGTTTTCCATCAAACCATTTCCAAATCTATTTTCCTAACAAAGCTTTATTCATAATTCTCAAATTGATAATCCCCAAACCACCACAGTATTTAGGTTTACAAACCTCTTCCCATTTAACCAAATTGGAATATCCTTTGTGATCCAAAGATCCAATCCACAAAATCTTCTTCTCATTTTATTAATTTTATCAATAATCCAAGAAGGAAATAAAAAGAATGAAAACCAAAAAAGTGGCATAGAGGAAAGGACTGAGTTAACTAAAACTAGTCTACCTCCTCTTGATAATGTCTTTCCTTTCCATAATGCTAATCTCCTCTCTATTTTCTCAATCAAAGGAGACCAATCATCTTTTTTTAATTTTCCAGGCCTTAAAGGCACACCCAGATAAGTAATAGGAAATTTTCCACATTTACAATTCAACATAGTGGCCAGATTCTTTTGTAAATCTTCATTATTCTTAAGAACTATAAGAACACTCTTATTAAAATTTATTTTTAAACTTGAAACAAGTTCAAAGCAATATAAGATCAGCTTCAAAACTGTCAATTGCTCTCTATTATTCTTGCAAAAAATCAAGGTATCATCTGCATATTGTAGACAAAAAACCTTGTGAGTCATATTAACTGGACCTAATCCTTTAATAAGTTGAGATCCAACTACTAAAGATAACATTCTAGTAAATGTATCAGCAGCCAGCACAAACAACAAAGGTGAAAGAGGGTCTCCTTGCCAAACACCTCTTTTGGACATAATCCAATTCACAGGTTTATCATTGATTTTGATAGCTGACATGCCTTTATTTAAGCACATATTTACCCAGTTTATCCATTTTTCACCAAATTTTTTAGCTTTCAACACCTCCAAAATGAACTTCCAGGGTAACATATCATAGGCTTTTGCAAAGTTCAATTTTAGTAAAATTCCTCCCTTTTTATTATTTTGAAAACAGTCATCTATAATTTCTTGAGCTGCAACTACTCCATCAAGCAAAAATCTGTTTTTAATGAAACCAGATTGCATTGGATCTATAAGCCACTCAAGCTTAGAATTCAGCCTATTGGTCAAGACCTTAGTAATAATCTTGTAAACTATATTTAAAAGACTGATAGGCCTGTAATCATTGACTGTACTAGCTTTATTTTTTTTAATAAGAATAATATGAGCATAATTAATTCTATTGATTTCTAGTTTTCCTTCATAAAACTCCTCAAAAAGCCTCATAATACATCGATCTGAACAAGTGAACTGAAGAAACAAAAAATACATCGATCAATAGAAAAAGAAAGAACTATAAAGCGTTAACTAGTAACCATCAAAGAATAGGCTTCGACTCCTTCTTCTGCTCCATCTACAAGCACTCCTGCTGAGAATCCTCTAGCTCCTGCTGAACATTTCTTCCTCTAAGTCTGACGTACACCAGAGGAAAAAGCAGTGTACGTCAGGTGCATGGCGCACGGCAAGACCGACCCCACAAAGAAAATAGAACAACGGAAATCCAATGCCGAAAACGATACGATAACAGAAACAACAAAAGAACGTACAACCGAAATCCACAAATACACATGAAAAACATACTATAAATCATATGAACATAAAACATCGCAAAATCGATCAGGTATCGAATCATGTCGGCTAGCAATTAGTCTAAACCATCCAAGTAACAAGGGCATACACTAGATGGAATTAATACTTAAAAATCTACAACTCGAGACGTAGTACGTCGAGCGAAATAATCCAAACAAGGAAACCCTCATGTATATACCATATGTCTCGAATTGTAAATAATTAAATATTAATCCCAATCTATGTATGAAAAGAAACACAACTGGCCTATATCTCACAAGAACTCATACCTAGCCAAGAATTGAGGTCATATAACTAACTATCCCATCACTCATCTCAAATAATCAACAATCTCAATATCCCTGCTCCTCAGACCCACCCCAGGCCGAAACAAGACGCTGGCGCGAGCCTGGAAAACAAATAATAATCTCGATATCACCTCACCTCAGACCCACCCCAGGCCGAAACAAGACACTGGCGCGAGCCTGGAAAATATATCAACAATCACATATCACAACTCCTCGGACCCACCCCGGTGACTACACAAACTTCACCAGCGCGAGCCCGGAATATACATCAATAATCCCAACCGCTCACATAGACCAAGACTTCTCATTCCAATTCTCATAATTCCAGGTCAACTACACACGGGATTCTAGATCCTAACTGTGTCATACAGGTCACTATAGTCATGAACTTCTAATGATTCTCAATCACAACATGAAACAATCAATGCAACAAATCATGTGCAATAATATCATAACATATCAGATAATCAAAATAAGAAATATAAATCATAAACAACATCTACATAATTCAGAAAATAATTAACAATTAATCTAAACTAATTCATTTTCCAAAATAAATTCTTTTAAATTATTATAATTATCTAAAAATGATTCTTTTGTCGAACTAAATTCTTTTAATTCTTTATAATTATTCTGAAAATGTCATTTACCATATTACCATGATATAATTAAAATTCTTCAGCAAACATTCCCACGCAGGTTATAACATATCACAGTCTATTCTATGCAATTAATTATTAACAGATATAAATAATGGAAATACAGATCAAGGGATGCGGGATCTTGCACATAAATAATCTACAACAAATATAAGAACTGGAACGAAACTAAACAAGGATCGGGATCTTGCACATAAATAATCTACAACAAATATAAGAACAGGAACAAAACTAAACAAGGATCGGGATCTTGCCTCGGGGTTCGTCGAACGAATCGATGTTGACGGCACGGGTCGGATCCGACGCGGAGGAGCGCGACGGCGAACTCGGGTCGGCGTCGGGCAATGGCGAGCTCGGGGCTGCAGGCGGATCTGAGGGAGGGCCGCGGGGTTGGTGCGGGTCTGGACAGCGGCGCGGGGGAGGCAGCGACGTGGGCGATGATAGGAGGCAAGGCGAGGTGGTTAGAGGCGGAGGACGATGAGCCTGGTGGAGGTGGATCTGGAGGCGAGCATGGGCTACGAATGGCGACGAGGAGGCGGTCGAAGGCGCTGAACAGGGGGTCGGCCCGAGGGGGTTGACAGGGCGGCGCTGTGAGGATGGTCGCGGCGGCGGATCAAGCGGAGGCCGGCTGGGTGTTTGTACGGTCGAAGAGAGAAACAAGAGAGAGGAGAGAGATGAAGGAGGTGGGTTTTCTTTTGGGGGTGTGCTGATGGAGAGGGGGAGGGGTACGGTGTATTATTGAATGGGGAGAGAAAAGGAAAGTATGAGAGAGAAAAAGGATTTGATTTGGTATTTTTTTTGAATTTTGAAATGAGAGAAATATGGAAGGATTTATTTTTGGCTGGAGAAAAACATGGGGAGTGATTTAAGGTTGATTGGAAATTGATTAGGGGGATTATGGTAGGAATTCAAATGAGAGAAAATT